CATACATACACACATACAGTTACGTACATACCTACCTACCTACTTACATACATACATGCAGTATACATAGAATTATACAAGCATAGACCCCAAACAGCTTCAAAACGATTCGTTTAGACCAATATTAGTCAAAAATCAATTTCTTTGTTCGCCCTACTTTCACCCCAAGAGCAAACTGCTTCATCAATGAGTTTTTGTCGGCATTGACATCGCTATTTCTTCGGCCACACTCCTCTCCAGTAAGACGGGCCACAGAGACCAGCCACAAAGTTCAGGGGCGCGGCCAAGACAAGGACAAGAGGAGGACAAGACCCGGACACAGAGCCCAGCCACAGAGTTCAGGGGCGCGGCCAAGACAAGGACAACAGGAGGACAAGAAGAGGACAAGGCCCAGCCACAGAGCCCAGCACAGAGGACAAGAGGAGCACAGCGCACGAGCGCGTTCGCCCTGCTCTTTTTCTCTCTCGCTCTCGCTCTCTCTCTCTCTCTCCCTCTCTGTCTTTCTTTCTTTCTTCCTTCCTTCCTTCTTTCTTTCTTTCTTTCTTCTGTCTTTCTCTCTCTCTCTCTCTCCCCCCCTCCCTCGCTCGCTCGCTGGCTCATTCTCTTTAGGTGTTTCCTTCTCTGTCTTTCTCTCTGCGCAGCGCGCTGGCCGCGCCTTTCTGGAGCGTGAGCGCGCCGGCCATAGCACACGAGCGTGCGCGCGCGCGCTCGCCCTGCTCTCTCTCTCTCTCTCTCTCCCCCGCTCATTCTCTTTAAGTGTTTCTTGCTCTGTCTTTCTCTCTGCACAGCGCGCTCTGAGCGCACCTTTCTGGTCTAAAGCACGCGAGCGCGCGCGCTCGCCCTGCTCTCTTTCTTTCTTTCTCTCTTTCTCTCTTTCTCTCTCTCTCTCTCTCTCTCTCTCTCGCTCTCTCTCTCTCTCTCTTGCTCTCTCACTCTCTCTGTCTCTCTCTTTCTCTTTAAGCTTCTCTTTCTCTGTTTTTCTCTCTGCAGAGCGCGCTGTGAGCGCGCCTTTCTGGAGCGTATTTCAGAGCGCGCCGGTCCGAAAAACACGAGCGCTCGCTGGCTCGCCCTGCTGTCTTTCTTTCATTCTTTCTTTCTTTCTTTCTCTCTTCCTCTCTTTCTCTCTCTCTCTCTCTCTTTCTCTTTCTCTTTCTCTTCAAGTTTATCTTTCTCTGTCTTTCTCTCTGTAGAGCGCGCTCTGAGCGCGCCTTTCTGGAGCGTATGTCAGAGCGTGCGCCACGAGTTGACAGAGTTCAAGGGTGCGGCCAAGAGGAAGACAAGAGGAGGACACAGAGTTCAGGGGCGCGGCCAAGAGGAGGACAAGGCCCAGCCACAGAGCCCAGCCACAGAGTTGACAGAGTTCAGGGGCGCGGCCAAGAGGAGGACAAGAGGAGGACAAGGCCCAGCCACGGAGCCCAGCCACAGAGTTGACAGAGTGCGGCCAAGAGGAGGCCAAGAGGAGGACAAGGCCCAGCCACGGAGCCCAGCCACAGAGTTGACAGAGTTCAGGGGCGCGGCCAAGAGGACGACAAGAGGAGGACAAGGCCCAGCCACAGAGTTGACAGGGTTCAGGGGCGCGGCCAAGAGGAGGACTCTTTCTCTCTTTCTTTCTGCACTTGAAATAGCCGGTTGTCTCTTGGAACATGTGCTCATGAGCTGCCTGGGGATGCTGCTGTTGGATGGTCAGAAGCTGTGCAATGATACTTGCTCTGGTGGGCTTCTTCCCAATTGCTCTCTGCTCTGGGAGATCGGAGGCTGGTGCTTCATGGACTAGTAGCTCACAGTCTTCTTTGAGGCGGAGTTCAATCACCTCTACTGTCAGTGCTTTCTCTCTTTTTTTCTCTTTCTCTTTCTCTTCAAGTTTATCTTTCTCTGTCTTTCTCTCTGTAGAGCGCGCTCTGAGCGCGCCTTTCTGGAGCCAAGAGGAGGACAAGAGGAGGACAAGGCCCAGCCACGGAGCCCAGCCACAGAGTTG